GGTATTGTTTTCTTCAACATGGAAATTCTGGGATAGAATCTCTTATTTACTAATACTTCTTAAAACAAATTTCCCCTGGGATCTGCAAAGGGAAGTTAAAGGGGTTATTTTTATTGATTTATATTATTTTGAATCTCCTGTTACTAATGAAGGGTCGAAGTTTGTATCCTACACAGAGCAGAGTTTTTGTTAATTTAACCCCATACTCTCTGCTAATTTACTCATTTAAAAGTAAAGTCCTATTTTTTTCTTTTACCAGAAATACTGACACAGAGATTCACAGTTGAATTTCTGAGTTCAAAGAGTGCTAATGAAGAAGAGCTGCCCGAGAATCCAGGTATTAATACTTTATTATTTTGCCTATTAAAACTAAAAAAAAAAAAAATTCTACTGTGCAGATTATTTAAAGTGAGGCTATTCCCACCCTAATGGAAATGTCTGGTCATTTACCTCAAGACTGATGATTTACCCATCTGTCTTTAGGTTACCAAGTTGGAAAACCAGTGAGAGCTGCAAATATAAATGCTTCTGATCCTCTGGGAATCCTAAACATTTGGCAGCCAGGTACTGGCTTGTGAGGTTGCAGCTTCAGCTGCAGTTAATGCTAAAATGTTGGGCCTTTGTTGGTTTTAGGATTTAAAAAAAAAAACAACCATATTTTAGTTAAAAATCTGCCCCAGATTTTGCTTTTCTTTCCCAAGCCTTTAAAGGATGGTGAGAAAGCCTCTAATGCTTTCTTGCAAAATGTAAATTGAATGGACTTGTATCTCTTTTTGAACTCTACCACGATGGGTTTGCATTCCAATGTTTGATGTTTTGCGTAAAACTGAAAGCTGCAGATCCAGAGGTGGATACAGGAAAGCTCAAGTCAGATGCTTTCATTTCACAGCTGGCAGAGGTTTGTGTTCATCAGCAACTCACACACCAGTTTTATTTGGAGTAGACTCCTACTCTGGGTGCATTCTGGAAGTTGGGATGAACGAGGATTGCAGCCTTTTAAGGTGAGCCACATAAGCTGAATTGTTTCTCCCTGCATCCCTCTTGTTGGTCATTACATGATTGTCTGCAAATGCCTCTTACCAGTTCTTTTTAAATACTCATGTGTGTGTTTCAGCTTTCTGGGGTTCAAAGTCTCCCTTTATTTTTAAAGGGAAATGATAATAATAATTATTATTATGAGGATTGTGTTGGGGTGGAATTCTTTGCCATTTCTTCCCTTCCACAGATAACTCAGGGGTTCAGGTTTATTTTTGTGTACAGATTTACCTCCTGGGGGATGTTACTTTCTTATTTTGCAGAGGAAACGTAACTGAGAAATTGAATTCGTTAATACAAGCCACTCACATTGGAAAGAGGGACAATTCCAGTTACAGTGATCCAGAGGACTGGGTGGAAATTATCCGTAAGTGAGGTTTGTGTTGTTCTTTACAGTCTAAATGTGCCCAGAAACTGAAGAGAGCAGCTCCAAATAAACCCCAAAAGTCATTTCAAATGCCTGGGGTACTGAGATGTCTGGATCCATCTCTCCATGCATGTGGACACACAGGCACATAACTCAGTTTGCGTGTGGATACTGAATATTTTACTGCCAGCCTGTGCAAACGACTTTGCCTTTACCTGTTGGTAAATAGATATCAACAGATAAATATGTAATCCTTTAAATAATAAGAGTGTAATAATTTTCTTTGTGTGTTTTTTTATTTAGGGAAAGCATTTTTAATCTGTTTCTGTGTGACAGTTACCAGTGTTTCACTGGACTGTGACAATAATCTAACTATGGAATAAATGATGTTTTCTGTAATATTTACATTTAAATAACTCTGTTCTCCTCAGGTCTTGATCCATTGAATTCTGATGCCAATGTGAGCACTGGAAGCTTAAAAGGCTTTTGTCCAGATATTCCTGCGAACCTGAATATTCACATCATGTTTGCTGAAGTGGGAGCAGTGCAAGGGATTCCCCAGCACCAGATTCTTGCAGTGCAGATCAGGTAGAGAGAGTTGTGTCTCTGGTTATCTGACAGAAGAAATGTTTCATTTTGTGCCTTCCTTACCTACCAAATCCAGCTTTAAACATTAAGAAACAAAAAAATGGTGGTTTGTTACTTACAATTTTTACGAGCCCAAATTCCTTTGGTCACAACCAGGTTAGCTTTTCTCGTTCTCAAATGAAAAAAAAAAAACAAACACCTAAAACTAGTGCTTAAAAACCCCATCATCTTTCTACTTCCCTTTAACTTGAAATAAAACCTGTGATGCTGCCAGCAGTGGGCAGACCCAGGGCACATCCCCTCAGGAGAATGTTTTAATTCCTTGTCACGTGGTGGAAGCGGCAACATTGTCCTGTGTTCTGGCTTATCCCACTGCAGAGCTCCCTTGGGAGCTCTGCAGTGGGATAAGCCAGAACACAGGACAATGTTGTCACTTGATTGTGCCAAATGATTCAGTCTTTCCTGAAACGGAATTTTCACTTTGCAAACGCTTTCCTCTCCTCTGCCCAGTCAATCCCCATTAAATAAATGGGATTCGCTTCCATTTTAGCTCATTTCCAGACTCGGGTTCTCCCCCTGCATGGGGGAAAATCCAGGGATTATCGACCTCCTTCCAAATACGCTGTATTGGGTCCTTTCGTGGTCGTGTTTAGGCTGTAAATTTTCATTTACAGCCCTCAAGTAAAAGCTGTGTTTGTTGTTACAGTTACTCAACAGTGCTGTGGCAGTTCCAGTGTGGGCTGAGCTGTGGGAACACCCTCAGCTCCCTGCCCATCACGGCCTCTGTCCAGTTCATTGAGGTCCCAGCTCAGCCACCTGTTCAAAAATTAAGGTAGTTTTGATAAAAAACATTGATAACTTCCCACTGTGCTCAGCACTGTGAGCAGCACTGACCAAAAGGCTCCTTTATTTCCAGATACCACAGGATTTATATGGAATTTGACTGCAATCAAAATGACGTGTGCCTGCAACAACTGCTCTATCCACTGACACGGTTTTACACAGGTGAGGACAGTGAACAACCAGCCACATTTCCTTCAAACATCATTAGAGGTGTGGGGTTCAGTCTGAAAGAATGCTTTGTGGGGGGGAATTAAAGCTTCTCCTTTAATTGTTTCTTTGACAAGGCATTAATTTCTTAGTTAGGCTAGTGGAAAGAAATAATTACTAGATGTACTTTCGGGGCAAGCTTGAAATTTTGTGAGCATCAGTTTGGCAGAGAGAGGTTCTTTTTCACTCCCCTGTGGGGTTTGGAGGGACATGTGCTGGTTAAGGCAAAGAATATGTCACTTTATGACGTTGTTCTGTGATTGTAGCACTGTCAGAGTGTGTCATTGCTCTGGAAGGGTGGAGGGAGACTTTATTTCTCACCTTGCCAGCAAAAATTTGCCACGTTGTTAAGACAGATAATTTTTAAATTTCTTCTGTGTGAAACTGTGGTGGATTATGTTTCATGGGAGACTCCACAGATTAAATGTGTGGGATTTCAAGGGGCATCAAGGCCCTTGGACTCTTCTGGGAGTGCCATGGACAGAGGCAACTGCCTGTGTTTATTATCTGCACAATTTCAGGGACTAAAGTTAACAAAGCATCAAGTTTCACAAGTACGAAGCATTTTATGTCCTTGCTTTGTGCTGCATTAATGTGTATACTTTAATCTGTCTAAACTAAAATTTAGGTCTCATACACTTATACTTTTTTTTCTTTTTTAATTTTTTTTGCAGGAGAACCATATTCCCAGTGTCTTGCTAAAGGCCTGCTACTGGCATTTCTTGTTTTACTTGCAGTAATTATGAGCAGCCCTTGGTTTTCTAAATTATGGAACAGATAGGTAAAAATTATGGAGAAATATTCTTGGATCTTGTAGACAATTTGTATAAACATTTAAAAATACATAAAATCGGTACTTTTACATACAGAAAATGGCTGTGTTATTTAAACCAAGAGTAAAAAATTATTTTTAAGCTCCAGACTCTGTGTTGGGAGCAGCAAAGTGCAGAGTTGACTTCAAGAGGGTGGCGAGTTCAACCCAGAGGCTGCAGCAGGGCTGGGCTCATCCTCATGGATGGATCTTTATCCTCTCGAGCTGCTTCTCTTCTCCTGCAGTAGAAGCTCCTCTTCCCACCAAACTCCTATTTTTGGAGCAGTGGGCAGACTGCTCACACTTCAGAAAAGTCACAACACTTCAGCTCTTTTCATGTGTCCACCTGAAATTCTCTTTTCCAGTTTAATGCTTTGCATTGGCAACCTGCTGTGTCTGACCTGGGCTCCACAGGGCGGGAAACATTCATCGATGGTCCTCAGGTGGAGAAACACAATATTGTGATTTCTTTGTGGTTTGGATGGGCCACAGAGTTGATCCAAGAACTGGAGAACCTCCCCTGTGGGAACAGGCTGAGAAGGTTGTGTGGAGACCTCAGAGCACCTTCCAGTATCTGAAGGGAACCAGAGAGGGGCTCTTTGTCAGGAGCTGTAGTGATAGGACAGGGAGTAATGGATATAAACTGAAAGAGGGGAAATTTAGGCTGCATATGGGGAAGAAATTTTTCCCTATGAGGGGGGTGAGGCCCTGGCACCAGGTTGCCCAGAGAAGCTGTGGCTGGCCATCAGTGGAAGTGTCCAAGGCCAGGTTGGGTTGGGGTTAGGGGCTTGGGGCAACCCGGGCTAGTGGGAGGTGTCCCTGCCCAGGGCAGGGGCGTTGGGACCGGACGATATTGAGGTCCCTTCCCAACCCCTTCCATTAATTGACTGTATGTAACGCACTTCACCCTTAACACGCAGTGACTGTACCGTGCTCTCTGGTTAACGCGTTTCTCCCGTCCATCCTCTCCCCACAGCAGCCACTCCCGGTGAGCGGCTCCCCACCCGGTGCCGGTACCCGAGTTCTCAGCCCGCGTTCTCCGCCCGTTCCCCGCCCCGGAAGCCGCTGCCGGGGCCGGGCCGGGCCGCTCCGCCCCGCCATGGCCGCCCCCGGGCGCCGCAGCTCTCCGGCCGCCGGCCCCGCCGAGCCCCGCTGAGCCCCCCGGGCCCCGCCGCGCCCTCCGCCATGGGCGCGCTGTTCCGCGGGGAGCCCATGTGCCTGGTGCAGCTCGACCTGCGCAGCGGCTCGGCCTACGAGTGCCTCAGCGAGGTGGGAGAGCGCGGCCTGGCCGAGTTCCGAGACGTGAGTACCGGGGGGCCCGGGGGGGGAGCCGAGCCGGGCCCCGGGGAAGCCGCCGGGAAGGTGCGGGGCTCCGGGACCGCTGCCCTTCCCGGCTTTCCCCGCCCCCGACACGCAGGTGGATGGCCGGTCCCGGGTCGCGTTCCGCTGGGTCTGTTCCCCTGGATCCCAGAGCCCTTAGGGTGGGAAGGGACCTCTGGAGCTCCGAGGCGGGGTCCACTGGAGCAGGTGACACAAGAACGGCTCCGAGGCGGGGTCCCCTGGAGCAGGTGACACACGAACGGCTCCAGGCGGGTGGGATGGGTGATGGGAAGCCAGTTTGGAGCCCGGGCCTCCCTGACGCTCCCTGCTTTGGGGTGGCCGCATCCCACCTAATCACCGAATTAGCTCAAACTCGGGAGTTACTTGCAGTAGGACCCTTTGGGAGACCCCCTGGGCCACGTGGAGCTGCAGTGCCTTCGGTGTGATTTTGTGTGCACAGCTTGGTGACGTGTCCACCCCACTGGAACGAACAGCTGCTCTGTGGGTTTGTTTCTTCAGCATCTCAGGCTCCTGCTTTGTCAAACACGTCTGTTCCTGGAGCAGCAATTCACCTTGCAGGGAACTGCCCGCCTGACTGCTGGGCTGGGCAATAATTAACCTTCTTGCTGCATCGTCTCGTCATAATTATATGATGTTTGCTTGCTGACTGAGACTTTGGAATTTCTTCTAAATGTGCATCAGAAATGCAGGTTGCAGAATCTTTGCAGGGAAGGCTGGGAGAACTCAACAGCTGGTTAGTAAATATGGCAGGGAGGAGGAGGCAGATCTGTAAGGATGATTATGTGAGTGTATGTTTAAAATTTTGATGCCATTCCAGTCACTTGACACACCATTCATTGTAGAAATAACACATTATTGGTTCTGATTTAAAAGCTGAATAAGTAGGCAGAGACATTGCACTCATGGTAGGGGGATGTACAAAAAATTCTTTTAAAGCTTAACATCTGACATGGATTAGGTGGAAATCCATCACAACAAATATGTTAGTAGGAAGGTTTGTTAATTTGAAGTCATTAAGCAATATTTTAAAACTGTAGAAATAAGATTTGGAATGGTTTCTCCAGGAGATCTCATTGATTTTTTTTTTTAATTTGAGTGCAACCAGCAAATGGCATGGATGATTCTGCTTTAATAAAACCAGTTCTGCCATTTGAAGACTTTCTAATCTGTTTAGGTTTTTGTACCTTCTTAGCTGAAAAGCACTTTAGAAAGAGGGAGCACCCAGAACACGTGCAAAGTGTCTCTAGGAAGTCACAGAACAGCTAGGAATTTTTAGGGATGTCGCTGTTTTCAATCTCTGATAAGAATTTTGTCCTTCTCCTGCAGCTTAACCCCAATGTAAGCGTATTTCAGAGAAAATACGTGAATGAAGTGAAGAAATGTGAAGAGATGGAAAGAATACTTGGTGAGCTTTATTTTCCTGTCTGATCTTTCTCAGCCGTGACTTTATTAAAGTTTACATTTCTGCAGTGGAACTCCAGTGAAGGTTTCAGCTACAGGTTATGTGGACTGACTGCTGCAGACTCATTGAATTTTCATATGTATTGAAAAATACCCATCCATACACTCATCTGTTGGGTCTTTATGTGGATTTTTAGAGCTGGAAATGACTTTCTTTGGTTTTGTGAGCTGTGAAATTCACTTACACTAAATATAGGTCGGGAGTTTTTTAGGCTCAGAGACGAAGCAGATTTGCTAATGTTTTGCTGATAAATAATTGAGATTACTTCAGTACTGATGGCTTAAAACTCTGCTAGGAAAATGGGACCTTCACTTTGGCTATTGCCTCGACTGTAAGATATTCCCTATTTTTTCATGTTGTTGATCCTCCAAGCACCCTCAGAAATACCAGTATCAGTAATTAGGTTATCAGTAATCGTGGGAGTTAATGAATAGAGGGTTTGCAGAGCGTTGCAGCCAAGCTGCAGATTTCCTCAGTGTATCCTGAGGGAAAGTTGCCACTGAAGGATTCCTTCTGTTGGGATCTCTCACCAGAGGCACGTGCTGGTCATGCCACACTGTGCCAGCAGCTATTTTGGCAATCATCTCCCTGCCCAGTGGGAGTTGCATGTGTGTCAAAGTTGCTTAAACCTCCTTCTTGGAGCACTTTTTATTCCAACCATGGGTCAATGAGCAGAATGGCCATTTCTGGCAGAAAATGATTATGTGATAAAAACTGATGTTGTGCAGCAGCAGGTTCTGGGAAATGTTAAAGCTTCTTACAAGGTACTTGCTGGTTGGGAAATTTCCATCACAGGCCTCTGGAGTTCACTCACTTGTGCAAACTTCCAAGGTGGGAATGTTGGATGTGTTTTCTCCCTTACTCTCTGTAAGTCCCTCTTTTCTTTGCAGGTTAATGTGTGGTTGCTAAAATGAATGAATGAGATAGCCAGGACCTGGTGCTGCAGATGATCAGCACCAGCAAGAACAGCTGAAGGTCAACTCTGCAGCGTTGTAGGAGTGTAAGGCAATGCAGTTTCCTTTCTGATTCTGTTTTATTCCTCACTCCAGGCTATTTAGTACAAGAAATTAAAAAGGCGGGGATTTCACTTCCCGAAGGAGATGTTGCTCCTCCTGCCCCCTTGCTGAAGCACATTTTAGAAATCCAGGTAACTTTTCCACTAAATTGTTGCCTAAGTATAGGCTATTGGAATTACTTAATTACTTGCTCTTTTATTAGCACTTCAATGTAGGGGTGTGGCAGTGGAGACAGAAGCATTGGCTTTCCTTTTTATCTGATTGTTTTCCTTCCTGCCAGGGTCACTTCAAAGCCTGCCAGGGAGGTTTTGGGATTAACACAAAATCCCTGGGAAGGGTCAAAGCCAAGTCCTGGGCTGTGCAGTCATCCTCTGGATTGGAGGGATTGGCATGTTTAGCTGTTCCAGACTAAATGTTGTGTTTAGATGTAACCCCTCACACTCCCTGTGACTCTTTGTGCATCCAGAATTTCCAGGTGTGAGGGAGTTTTATATGCCCAAAGCTCTGCAGGTGCCAGTGCTGGTTGCCCAGCAGAACATGGTGCTGGTTCCTCTGAATCCTTTCTCTTGTGTTTTGTTAGAAAAGAAGCTTGGGAAACACAGAGATAATTTTGAATAAAGTTCTGTTTTGCTGTAATTCTACTAAAGGAATAAATAGGTGTCTTCCACTCTGTGCTATCTGCAGTTCTAATTCTTCATCACCTAGACACAAATTGAGGGCAGAACAGACTTAACAGATGCCAGTGGAAGATCAAGTGTACTCAACACAAAGCACTCTCTGGCAGACTGAGGGATAAAACCTGTGGAGCTTTAGTTAATTAAGAAATCATGAAACTCCCATCATTGTAGCAAATAACAACGTGCTGAAAATGAATTCTGCTCTGTTTCCCAAAATCGTGTCACTGATTCTGTGTCTCTTTTTTCCCCCCCCTCTGTGTCTCAGGAGCAGCTGCAGAAGCTGGAGACAGAACTGAGGGAAGTCACCAAAAACAAAGAAAAACTGCGGAAGAACCTGCTGGAGCTGACAGAGTACAAGTACATGTTGAAGGTCACCCAGAGCATCGTCAGGAGAACATCTGAGGTGCCGCTGGGGGGTGTTTGCTGATGGCTGTGCGTTGTTGGGGTGTTTTGGGCTCACCTTGTCAGTGGTTCTGGTTCAGGGCATGACTCGGTGTTGGGTTTGCAGTCCTGGATGTTGTTGGTGATGGTTTGTGCCAGGCTGGGCTCGTGCACGGGGCAAGATGCAGCCCCGAGGCCAGGGGTGCTGGGGGATTCCTCTCTTTGTTGGGTGTTGCTGCTGGTGCCAGTTGAAAGTGAAAGTGTGATTGTGTTATTTTGATGCGTAAATTACGCCGAGAAATTTACGGTGTGATTTTGCAGCACTGCCTTCGGTTGGTAAGAGCAGGGCACTTGAGATCACAAGGTTGCCTGCATTGAACAGGAAAGGGGGGTTATATTTGTAATGAAACAATTTACTTAACTAGCTTTTCTTCTTTAGGATAATAATGGAATTAAAGTATTTTTTTTTTCCCTGAAAGCTACGACTCATCTTTCTTTTTCTGTTTGCCAGTATGAATCTCATTTACATGCAAACTATGAAGAATTTCCATCTGTGGAAAATGAGCCACTGGTGGATTACAACTGCATGCACAGGCTGAGTGCCAGGCTGGGGTAGGTACAGGGCAGGCCAGGTGTGTGTGACAGCACGTCCTGTCAGAACCTGCTGCTTCAAAAGTGCTCGAGGGGCTGCTGGCAAAAATGAGGTGTTCTCTTAAAAGATGCACTAAAAAGTAGTGTGACTGCAGTGACTTCAGCTGTGCCAAACAGTTCTAGACAAGGCAGGAGCCTGACCCCAGTGTACCTTTGTAACAAAACCGGGTTATTGGAAGGGATCAGTAGGACCAAAAAATCCTGTCTCAAAGCATCCATCCAACCAAGGATGTGTGTAAAGGAAAATCTCCCAATCAGTACTTCCTGGGACTGTTTGAACTCTTTTCCTGTGATAAACACACAGTGTTTTAATCACCTGGCAGTGCCAGTTGTAAATGGAACATGAACTGCGTTGGCTTTGAAGCGCTGGGTGGATGTTGCTGTCTGTGGCTTCGTTATGAGAGGGTGTATTGGAAGAAAAAAAATTAAGGACCTCACTATCACAGAAATAACCAGTTAGATACAATTCCAGCTGTGTGCTCAGGCCTGCAGTCTGTTTGTTTTCCAAATAGAAATTTTATATACCAGCTGGTATTTTCTGTACCAGGCCCTTCCTGCTCAGGGTGGTGTTCCTTGTCCAGACATTAAATTATTGTGACTGGGGGATCCTGAGGGATGATGTACCCTGAGTTTCTTGTGAATTTTATCTTATATTTCAATTTTTTCTTTTTTTTTTTTCCACAGATTCATATCTGGGTTAGTTCACAGAGCAAAAATTGAAGCATTTGAAAAAACCCTGTGGAGAGTGTGTAAAGGTTATCCCTTCCTTACCTATGCAGAGCTGGATGAGGCTCTGGAAGATCCAGACACAGTGAGTAAACATTGTAATTATCAGTTTATTTTGTTTGCATTTTTCCTATGATTTGGGAGAATTTCTGCTCAGCTCTGCCTGCAGTGAAGGGAAATGATTTCCCAGTGCTCTAGGGGGAAAAACTATTTAAAAGAATTAGAACTTGTAAGACTTGTAAATTGGAGGTGTCGATGCCAACGTGACTGTAGGAGTAGCCATGAATTTACCACAGCTCAGCTTGGGGAGTGCAGAACTTTGCTGTGGGATGGTGGTGACTTCATGATTGGCCACCTTGATCAAAATACGTGGCATAAATGGCTGCTTGGATATTTATTAACCAGGCCTGTACAGTGCATTGCATTTTAATAGCCATTTTCCTTCTTCATCCAGTAGGTAAAGATTCAAGTACAGGAAGGTTTTTCTCTGAACTTATAAAATTCATCTTTTATAATAAATCAAGTCTGGCAGCCTAATCCGTCTCTTTTTTTTTTTTTTTTTGCTTTGATTCTATTTTGTTACCTTTGTTACTCAGAATTCTGAGATGGTAAAATAAAATCTCTCTTTTATTTTCACTGAAAAATTTTTCCTGGTTTTCTCCAACATACAAAAAACGCCCTCTAAAAACCAGAGAGGTACTGACACACTTGAATTTTATCATTTCATCTTCACTGAAAAGGATGCAAGATCAGTGCTACTAACACAGATTTTCCTGATTATTCAGCTTTCTTATTTTGCTCTAATTATATCACAGTGGAGTTGCTGGTTGATACAAACTTCATTAACTTCCCTTTTTCTGGTTTCATCAGGGTGAAACCACAAGGTGGGTTGCTTTCTTAGTGTCCTACTGGGGTGAACAGCTTGGCCAGAAAGTAAAGAAGATTTGTGACTGGTAAGAAGTAAAACTAATAAATCATATAAAAATATGATTTCTTTACACCTGGGTTATTTTCCAGCTGGTTTTTCCCCCTGCACCCCTTTGTTGTAAGTGCTGATATTTAGACAAGGTTTTGAAAGTTGAATTTGTACAGGCAAAACACGACTCCATCAGTCCAATCTGTTCCGTGGTTATTAAGTGGTGTGTTGCAGATTTGACTGTGGCAGGTGGGAGGGTGATTTGTTTGGGCTTAGCTGGTTAATTAACACAAAGCTCTGTGTTCTGTAGCTATCACTGCCACGTGTATCCCTACCCAAACAACACCGAGGAGCGCCGGGCGGTTGTGGAAGGACTCAACGTTCGCATTCAGGATCTTACAACTGTGAGTAAAGAGCAGGTTCCCTTCTGCTGCAGTTGTGGCACCACAGGAAATCATTTGATAAATCACAGCATTAATAGATATTTCTAAATGACATTCAGCTTTGGAGCTCAGTGTGACAGTAAATCACGGCCCTGGCCTTGTGTTGTGTGTCTGTTAAACCTCAGGGCACTTGGCAATGCCTGCTGTTTTCAGCAGAGGTTTGCTTGCCCTCCTGAAAACACTGGACACTTCAATGTGCTCTTGTTGTGGTCAACACAACCACTGTCACATTTTCAGTGAGCTCTTTATGTTTTTTATTTGGACAAAGGTGCTGAATAAAACCGAGGAATATTTACACCAGGTCTTGTGTAAAGCGTCAGAATCCATCTACACCTGGGTTATCCAGGTGAAGAAGATGAAAGCCATTTACCACGTACTCAACCTGTGCAGTTTTGATGTCACAAAGAAGTGTTTGATTGCCGAGGTTTGGTGTCCAGTGGCTGATCTGCAGAGTCTGCGCCAGGCGCTGGAGGAGGGTTCAGTAAGTCAGCTGAGTGCTCCCTGATGTGTAAACTTTGGTCTTAACTGACTCTACAGATAAGGAAAGAATTGTTAAAAATAGACTGAAAATAGGCACAGGCAGATCTGGGTCTCTATCAACTTATATAAACCAGTTTTTTTGTAAGCAGAGCCTTTATTGAGTGTTGTGTGTGGTGAGTTTTTTTTTTTTGTTGAATAACTTCTGTGTTGTCCCTGAGCCCAGCTGGGCTCACAGGGCTCATTGCCCTCTCAGAGAAGGTGTTGGTTTTTGTTTTATAAGTGAGAATTTCTAATAACAAATCTTTGTTTTATAGTATTGACTGCTGAGCCTCATCTGATATTTCAGAGAAGAAAGGATTAGACACTGTACATAATCAGTGTTTCTAGAGAAGGCACAAACATTAAACTTTAGGCTCAGTTCAGTGGTAATTCAGGATCAGTGAAACAACTTCTAGAGCAAAGGTTTTCAGTTTGCCTGGATTAACAGAACTCTTGCATAAATTTATCTTCTGTCTCTAATTAGAGGAAGAGTGGAGCTACAATTCCCTCATGCATGGAGACCATCAGGACAACACAACCTCCTCCCACTTTGATCCGTACCAATAAATTCACCTCAGGGTTCCAGAACATTGTCGATGCTTACGGAGTTGGAAGCTATGGGGAAGTTAATCCAGGTTGGTCCTTCTGAAAGCTGAGATGGGGGCTGTGCTGTCATTGCTGTTTGCCTCAATACCTTGCTGAATTGGACACCAGTGAAGGCAAAGTGGTGAAAACCCCACTGCTTGTTCTGAAATTTCAGCAGCCCATCAGAAGTACAAATGATGCACCAAGCAGGAAGATGGGATATGATTTTGCTGAGTTATTTTAGCATTAAAGGTGCTGATAACAGCTGTAGAATATCTCTTTATATTTTTTACTTCAGGCAAGATAAGATATTTAGGGGAAACAAAACTTTTGTGATGGTTATTGATCTCACTGAAGCGTGGAGCTCATCACTTGAAAAATTCAGCTTGTTGAACAGCTCATTTTAATATTCTTGCAGCTTTGCTGACTGTGTCGTGCTGTACAGGGGAGTAGACATTGTAACACAGACCTGGAACACCCCCCAAGGAAGAACTGTTTGGCTGTGCTTTATTTCCTGGGCTCACATTGTTACCCTCAGAATTGTCACTGTGAAGGGACACACAATAAACAAGCTTTAAACCGATCCAAATTTACAGTGTGGGGAAAATGTCTCTTAGTTGGGGGTGAAATGTCCTTCAAACTTAAAGCTAAAAACATTGAGAGACTGAAGTGCTGGAATTGCTTGGGCACAGTGAGAACACCCTGAATGTGCTGGGGCTGAGCTGTGCTGTGTTCTTGCAGCTCTCTACACCATCATCACCTTCCCCTTCTTCTTTGCTGTGATGTTTGGAGACTTCGGGCACGGGCTGCTCATGTTCCTGTTTGCACTGCTGACCATCCTGTATGAAAACCACCCCAGGTTGAAAAGATCCCAAGATGAGGTAAAAGGAATTACAAGTTGTTTCCTTCCCATCCAGCCAGATCAGTTAAATAATCACTATGTTCACTTGAATAGTTTCTGAGAAGTGTTATTTATTGCACATGTATTAGACATTTTTTTTCCTTTGTTTCAGTATTTTCTGGGTTTAAAGTCCCTTGAGATTAATGTGATATCTTAAACCAGTCACTCTTTTTGAAAGAGCAGAAACAATTGAGTTGTAGTGAAAGACTGACAAAAATGAGTTAATACTTTGGGGCTTGTCTTTTCTTCTGCCAGGGCTGCTCAGTGGTGTGAGTATTTACAGAGTGTGGTCGTGGTGGCAACCTGAGGAGAAAATGATTTTTCAAATTCCACCTTTTATTGTTTCTAAAAAGAGCTGCAGTTTGAAATCTGCTAAACTTTATTTTAGCTCATTTTTTAATCCTATGGTGTTGGAATGCAGGAACACCTGCATCTCTCATTAGAATTGTATTTAATTAAGAATGGCTGCAAATGTAGAACTTGTTGTAAAGTAGTCTCAGGAAGGAAATGGCTATAAAGGACTATTTGTGTAATGATGCCAATGAGAAAAGTCTCAGTGTGCGTCATGAGAGCTCTTGTTCCTCAGTGACTGTTCAGAAAACGGTTTAGATTTTGCAAATCTTTGTGTCCAAAAATGTCCAGGTAACCATTGCTAATAGAGCAGATGACATGCTCTGTTGTTTCTTCTTTCCAATCCTTACAGATAATGAAAATGTTGTTTGAAGGCCGATACGTGATCTTGTTGATGGGTCTGTTTTCTATATACACTGGATTGATTTACAATGACTGTTTCTCCAAGTCCATCAACATATTTGGGTCTGGCTGGAATGTTTCAGCAATGTTTGAGCAGAAGGTTTGGCGGTGAGTGGCCTGTTTGCTGCACCATTAAACCAGAGCTGGAGTTCCTGCAGCAGTTTAACCCTCTTTTAACTCTTCTCGGGGTTTGTCCCAATACATTTTCCAGGATTGTCTCTCTCTATATATCAGATTTTTGGAGGAATAGAAAACACAGGGCTTATTCTGAAGGAATTTGTCCTAGCTCATGCTTCTGGAATGAATAGCTGAGCAGCATTTACTGTAAAAAAAATTAACAGTTAATGAAGTAAATACCTGGCACAGCTTTTCTTGATATTAGAAAAAAGGTTACGTGAATTGCCAAACCTCCTTTTTCCCAGCGGGATGAGCTCGTTGATTTGAGTTTTCATGGCCCTGTGGTATTTCAGGAGTTCACAAATTGCATCTTGTGTTGCCTCAGAAACAGGAAGTGGTTTAAAGTAGTTGAGTCAAGACCTGTGACTTTGGTTAAAAAGAGAGCAGGTTCTCTGTGCTGTGTTAATGAGAACATATATGAAGGTAGAGTGGAAATTTCCCTTGCAAAAGGTAGCAATTCTTCCTTGAGTGTTTATTAGGCAGTTTAAAAAAAGGAAACTCACTAAAAGCAAACTGTGAATTTTTAAAATGGAACTTTCAGTTCTGGGGGAATGAGGAATAAAATCCCTAAACTTTCCTTTCACAGGCAGGCAGTGCAAACTGAGCCCAGACTGGGAGTTTCCAGTTGGGTTTTTTGGTATTGTTTGTATTGGCCACGACTTTTGTGCTTAGAAATCCTTTGATTCTTTGGAAGTGGGACAGTGGGGCAGGGGAGGGAAAGCAGGAGCAGTGTCCTGCAGAACTGGAAGTGTGTATTGTCCCTGTGATTGAACAGTGTCACATCTGAGTGTGTGTATTTTGTTTTTTTCTCTTCAGCCTTGAGGATCTGAAATCCAATAAATTTTTAGCACTGGATCCAAATGTTTCTGGTGTGTACAATGGAGCTTATCCCTTTGGAATTGATCCGGTTAGTTTTATTCTGTTTAATTATCCATTCGTGGGGATCAGTCATTTGGGCATTAGATTTTGGTATGTGTATCAGGAAGATAAATCTTAACTATGAAAAAACACATTTCTGTTTGCATTCTCCATTCAAGAAATTCTTTTCTCTTGACAAACCAAAAGTTTAACTATTTTCACAACACTCACATTTCAGTTGTGATCCCATTTGAGGTAAAATTCTGGTCTCCAGTAAAGAAAAGATACTGGTTTATTCTTTCTGCCGTGCTGTTCTTTAATGCTCATTTTGTGGTTTCTTGTTCAGATCTGGAACTTGGCAAGCAACCGCCTCACTTTTCTAAATTCCTTCAAAATGAAAATGTCAGTGATTTTTGGAGTGGCTCACATGACTTTTGGAGTTGTACTGGGGCTGTTCAACCACTTGTAAGTACAAGAAGTTAATGTTAACATTTTTTGCCAAATCTTCAATTATAAAAGTTAATCTGGTAAGAGAAACTGGAATTAGTGTTTGAAAACGGGATAATAGTAATGGTGAAAACTGTTCTTAAAAAAGGACACTAACAGAGAGGTCTTCCTTCATGTAAATGAGATGATGAATCAGTGTTAGCCAAAAAAATCTGAATACATCAATTAATACAAGACTTTATTTCACTAGTTGGTAACTGAAGGTACATGCCTCTTGTGGGCCTAATTTCCACTGAAATACCTGATCAAAATTTCACTGAAGAAGAAGAAATCAGTTCTGGATTATGATGTCAGTCCTGCTGTTTAGAAGTGCTGGGTGGTGCTTTGTTTATTGAAATCATATTTGGGCCATGTTGATATTCCTTTTTAACACTTTTATTTCTCCCTCCCTCCCCCTTTTTTATCTTTTAGGCATTTCAAGAAGACCTATAACATTTACTTGGTGTTTATTCCCGAGCTGTTATTCATGATGTGCATCTTTGGCTACCTTGTGTTTATGATCTTCTTTAAATGGTTGGCTTACTCTGCCGAGGACTCCACGGCTGCTCCCAGCATTCTGATTGAATTCATCAACATGTTCCTGTTCCCTGGGGGTGGTGGTGAAACAAAGGGCCTCTACCCTGGCCAGGTGAGTGATGTCCTTACACACTTCTCACCTCCCGTGTTCCCGGTGCAGGTAACGCTTTAAAGGAAAATGGGATGGCTTTTCCTGCTTCACATTTTGTGTTCTAATCTATTTTTTTTTTTCCTCCTCAAACAGGCTCCTCTGCAGAGGTTTTTACTTAGTGTTGCTTTTCTTTGTGTTCCTGTTATGCTTCTTGGGAAGCCACTGTATTTATATTGGTTGCACAGTGGAGGTCGAGGCATCAGGATGTGCAGGGTAAGTCCTGGAAGGCTCCTGTGTGTTGGGTCCGTGCAGATGAGTTTTGATGGTGATTTATTGCTCAGAGTCGTGTCCTCACTGGATATTTCAGAGAATGGTTTGGGTTGGAAGGGAGCTTAAAGACCCTGCCATGGGCAGGGACACCTTCCACAATAGGCCCAGGTTGCTCCAAGCCCCGTCCACCCTGGCCTTGGACACTTCCAGGGATGGAGCAGCCACAGCTTCTCTGGGCAACCTGTGCCAGGGCCTGCCCACCCTCCCAACCAAGAATTTCTTCTGTACTCCTAAACCTGCATTTCCCCTCTGAGTTTGAACCCTTACTCCTTGTCCTATCATTGCAGTTTCTGCTCAACTCAGAAAGCTTTTGACCAAAACACAGTACCAGTCCTTTGTTCCTCTAAATCTTTTTGCCTTGAGGTAAATGTTGAAAGTGTCCTGGCAGCCTGCTTGAAGACACAATAATTTCCATTTTGCAGAGTGGCTACAGGCCCATCCGAAAGGAAAGTGAAGAGGAGCTTTCTCTGCTGTCGTGCCCTGATGTGGAGGAAGGCAACAGCCACGCAGACAGCGGGCCCAGAGAGGGGGAGGCAGAGGAGGTGATGCTTTTACTTCATCTCCAGTTTGTATGTCCTTAAAAGCAAAGTAGGAGTGGGAAATCAGTAAGTTAATCTGTACTCTGCATGCCTGGGAGTCTGGATGAAAATCAGCTGAGCCTTTACGGAGGCATCGAATCCTGAATCCAGTTTGCTTGTATTTATTTATTGCTGTTATAGCTTTATTTCTTGGTCTTTTAAAGACTGCTGCAGTAAAGCACAGCCCATCTGGAGCAGAGAACAGGAAAAGGGCTTTATTGGCAAATAAGCCTCTGCTTTTAAGATATTTTCAATTAAGATATTTTTCAATTTTTCCGAAATTGAATAGTGGGGTAAAAATCCTGGTTTATCTCTGGTTTGATGGGTTCTTAAGGGAAGGTGATGTCTGCCCAGCTTCCTGTTAGTTAATCTTGGGGTTTCATCTGGACAAAAGTCTTTTTATGTCTGCAAATTACATCTTGTGATGAGGATTATTGCTGCTGGGGGTTGGGAGGCATGGGCAGCATTCCTAGTCCCCACCTCCTGCTGCTGTTTTAGTTTTGGGCAGATTTTTAAAGGTCTTGGCAGATTCCACTGATTTCTTGTGAGTTGAAAGGAAAAAAAACCTGCTTTTTGTTCACTCATGCTGTGCTGTGTTGTTTAAACTGATAACAAATGTGTTTTTCTCTTGTAGCTGAATTTTGCAGATGTTTTTATGAATCAGGTGATTCACACCATTGAGTACTGTCTGGGCTGTATTTCTAACACAGCCTCCTACCTGAGACTCTGGGCATTAAGTCTTGCTCATGCACGTAAGTGGAGGTGGTTTTTTTGATGTTTTGGTGTGTTTTTTCCCCACATTTGTCTTTATTTTTAATGCTGGTTAGAGAGGGAGGCTGCCCTGTTCCAGTCATACTAAGATGAAATTATCTTTTTCTTAATTAAAAAAAAAAAATTCCCTATTTAATCATCTTCTATGGAAGCCCCCAAACTAAAGTTGTAACTTCATGTAAAAATATTGTGATTTTGACATCATTGATTTTGAACCCTTTGAAGATGTGAAGGGTTTGGGGGCAGCTGAGTGGAGTGGGGGAGCTCGTGGGGTTCCCGTGCTCATGGGTGATGTGACACTGGGTAAACTGGAACGGCTCTCTGCTCGGTGTCAGCATTGACGATGGGAACATTTTGGTTTCCCCCAGAGTTATCTGAGGTTCTGTGGCAGATGGTGATGAGGGTGGGGCTCCGTGTGGACACCACGTACGGGGTGGTGCTGCTGCTCCCTGTCCTGGCCTTCTTTGCCGTGCTGACGGTTTTTATCCTCTTGATCATGGAGGGCCTTTCTGCTTTCCTCCATGCCATACGACTTCACTGGTAAGTTCTTTTTTTCTCCTTTAGCATATACTGCCTTGTTGAAGAGGAATTTTTATGCCAAAATATCAGGTGCCTTATTAAAAAAGTGTAAAATGCAACTCGTGCTGCTCTAATAGATGTATTTAATCATATTAAATAGATTATCCTATTAAATAGATTTAATCATATTAAATAGATTTATTTAATCATATTAAATAAATGTTGGATGTGATTGTTCCTCTGGAATATTTTCAGTAAATTCTGATACATTGGCTTATGGGGCATATTAACCTCAACCACATTCAGAGTTGATTTTGGTGCAAACTATAAGTACCTTTAATTTATAGTAATGCAGCTTTTCATAATATAGAATATTAGTAACATGGATAAGTATTTTTCATTTCAGCCTGGTTATCACACTGTATGGTTACAGTCTGTTTAATTTATTTGGTTTAACAGAATATTTATATTAGTGAGTGGGGCTGCCAACCCTTAAGTATTTTAATCCTTTCTCAGTCTTAATATCACAAGCTCCGAACTTTGGAGTGGATTCAGAGCAGGTTTAGTTTGAAACCTGAGGAAATTTGCAGTTCAAGGAAAGGCACAGAGTGTATAAACATGAGGCAGAGCTGTTGCATGACAGCATTGTCCTCATGGTAACGTATGTTTGCAAAGCAATTAACTGCAACCCACTCCAAACCAAATTAGCGAGCCAGAAGTAAGAAATGAGCCATTACAGCACAATCCAGTGGGTTTGGGTCTCCTGAGAAACGTGGAATTAGCCTGGAATTGCAACGGGGAGATGAAATAGCTGCACAGGGAAGGGAGAGGATTAGGGATGGTTTTGTTCAGTCTCTTTTGTGTTGCACAGCTCTGTCCCTTGACAGCTGATTCTTTTGGATTCCTGTACCGATCCTGGTTTTTTTTGTCTCGTTTCAGGGTGGAATTTCAGAACAAATTCTACTCCGGTGCAGGATACAAGTTTACGCCTTTCTCTTTTAAGCACATTTCTTTACATTTTAATAAAGATGATGTATGATAGTTTGGCTGCTGTCAGCAGAGATGTTTGGAATTGTCTGCAAATAACTGTGTGATTGGATCTTGCCTATGAATGGTTTGTTCTGGAAGAAAGTGGTTTTCACTGATTGCCTTATAATGCAGCCAAATAGTACTGTAAAATATACCTCCCATAGAAAGACATCGCAGATCTGGAGCATCTTGTAAAGTATATGGACATAAAGTGTACATTTTTCTTGATAAACTAATGTAAATTAATTTTATTCTTTAAAAAAAGAGAAAGTTGTTACTGCTTGTCCTAAAACCTGAGTAGGCTTTTTTTTTTTTTTTTTTGGGGGGGGGGGGCTGTTTATTTTCTTGAATGGTTGGTTTTAAGTTATCTGAAAGATAAGCATTTGTTACATACTTAACCAAGCTGCATCTTGTGCACTTTGGGAACAATTCAACAATGAAACAGAAGCAAGGTATGTTTTCAGTATGTATTCCAGTATTATTATGAAGTGTAAATTTATACACAGCAATGCAACGTGCTCTTTCTTGGCCATATTTAAAATTGCACTGGAAACATTAATTATTCATTATGACTTCTGCCCACGGGTACTACTTTAATCTTTTGGAAGCCACACTGATATCTATATTTAATGTTGTGGGGGAAGGTGGGATTAGAAGGATTACTCCTTTTCCCTGTGGTAAGGAATAACTTTTGCACAGGGAATAAAGAATTGGCCTCAGTCCTTGTTTCTGTTTGCCTGTGAGGACACACAGACAGCACTACCTGCTGTTGTAAAACCTAACTTCCACCGAGTAAGGTGGAAAGAGGTCGTTTTATACTATTTTTGTATCAGTGTGAAAATGGGGATACTGCAGTCATCCTTTACCGCCTTGTGCCACGCGAACAGCACAAGTTAAAATTTTTGCACTTGTTTCGTACGAGTTCCCAATAAAGCCTCGTTTGCGCTGAGCCGAGGGGGGCCCGTGTTTGTCCGCAGCCTTTGCGCTGTCCCAGGTGGTGCTGAGGGGGAAGGAGAGGCCGGTACTGAGGGGGAAGGAGGGACCGTGAGGGGAAAGAGAGGCCGGTACTGAGGGGGAAGGAGCGCCCGTGAGGGACGGCGGGCGCTGAGGGGAACGAGCAGCCCCGAGGCGAAGGAGCTGCCGTGAGGGGCGGCGCGGGACGAGGGCGGGCGGGACCGCGACCCCTCGAGGCACCTCCCGAGGCGGGCCCCGGGCCGGCAGCGGCCGTCTCTCCTCTCCCCGCCCCGTTGCCGTGGCCACCGCGAGGCGTCGGAGCGGTCGCCGCCATGAGCCGGGACGACGTGCGGCTGCGGTGGCTGCGGGACCGAGCGCTCGCCCTGCTGGGTCTGAGCGCCCCTGGGTCTGAGCCTTTCGGGGAGCTGCTGAGCCGCGGCGAGGATGCCGAGCGGGCCGTGCTGCGCTTCTTGGGCGAGGAGGCGAGCGGGGCGGGCCCGGCGCTGCTGCTGCTGCTGCGGGCCGAGCGGAGCGGCCGGGACGGTGAGGAGGAGGAGGAGGAGGAGGAGGAGGGTGAAGGCCCCTCCCCTGGGCGCTGCCTGGTCCCGAGCCCCACCTCCTTCTTTTTCCCAATGTCAGGGCCGCGTTGTGGCAGCCCCATGACCATTGTCCTTACCCCTTACTCTGCCTCCCCATCCCTTGGGCTGTGTGCTCCTGGATCCCTTCAATCCCACCCCCTTCCAGAACTTTGCCCCCTCTGGCTGTGCCCTGGTGGGATTTGCAGCACCCCTGCTGCAGAGGGGTTATATCGTGCTTTCCTCCCGCATTGTGTTTGTGCAGATACAGGCGACACGAAGGGGGCTGCAGGTGAGCAGCAGGAGGAAGGCGCAGGTGACCCCCTGTTCCTGAGCAGGTGCCTGGAACAGCCTCCTGTGTGGCACTGCAGGGCAGTCTGATGGTCAGAGCGTGGTCATTGCAGGCCAGTGTGACCAGCTGATGTGGTTCTCTTCAGCAGATCCAGAAGAACCTGTAACATCAGCAGGGTCTTGTCCCAGGAAAGCAAATAGGATTTTGTGGAGGGTATCCCGTGTGGCTGATGAGTGTTTTCCCAAGAGCTGCTGCCCCAGGATGCTCCTTTGAAAAGAAAGCTAGTTTGGCCCTTTCATCTTTTCCAAGTAGAAGGAAAGACAGAAACAAAATCAACCCACAAACATAGATCTTCTTTGCCTGTGACACTTTTACCAGCTTTATAATTTCAACTTTTTAGAGATTGATTTTATTAAAATAAATAGAATTAATATGTTCCCTTTAGTAGGAATGAAGCAATTTACCTTGTCTTAAGAGTTGCAAGCTCTTCTCTTGTTTCTGATGTAGTGTTTTGAGGATAAAAGTGGTGATCCTGTAAAGAATGGAGATCAGTCCAATACTTTAACCACAGTATTGTAGAGAAGCCTTTCACAAAAAAAAAGGAAAAAAAGGAAAAAATAATAAAGGAAAATGGATAGAAAGTGTGTTATAAAGGGTGCATGACAACCCCCTTAATTGTTTGCACTTCCATTTACAAAGTAGTTTCATCTTGGAATGTGTTAATCCACTTACTTTGCCATAAAAGATCAATTGTGTTGGAAAATGCTGGTAAGGATATTCTAAATAAAGACCAGTTTCCTGTGGAACACGGTACAATTCGTTGCTTATTTGGATTCAGTTCTCCACAAGTAATGCTGTTGTATGGAGAAACGGACAATTAACACTAAGGTTGGATGGCTGGTTGTTGAAAGGTGATGCTGACGATGGAAGAAAATGCCCAGTCATTTGGTTTGAGAGGAAAATTGGACAGATCCATCTTTATCCACAAGGATAATGTTCTTTAATTGAGTTCTCTGGTGTTGTTCCTTCTTAGGGGTGACCCAGGAAAGCAAGACATCCCCTCTGCAATCTGCTGACAGCAAAAGTGTGTCAGGTGATGCCAGTGCAGAACACACCCCCCAGGTACACGTGTTTTTTAGCATTTCATATATTTTATTAGTTTATTTGGACAGCAATATGAAGATAATGGAGTTAAACTAACGATTCTATCCTATCTCAGGCAAACAATTTCTTGCTGTTCAGGGGTGTGGCAGCAAACAGGAATAGTCATACATTGTTTTTAATTTCTGTTTCAGCTACAGGAAGAGAAAGCTGACAAAGTGTGTTTCCACGTGGCTCTTGATGAAATTCCTGAAGGATTTGTGTCAGATTTGACTGTGTATTTTCTGAGAGACCCCAAAGGTGTGTGCCCTGAAGGGCTGCAGGCTCAGGGTTTTGCATGAAACAGCAGTTCCCACCGGGAAAATGTGACTGGGACTCAGGATAGTGAATATCCAGCCTAATTGACTGGGGAGGAGCACAGTCAGAATAGAACAGAAATCAGGAATGATCAGTCATTTTATGGCAGTTCTGTGCAAGATTTTCCTGGTCTGTCTGTAGAATAAGGGTTCAAATCAAGGCCACTGTTGTTCTGAGCAGAAAACCATTTTCTAACTCTCAGGCTGGATTGTCAGGGCTTAAACCCAGGTGATGGCACTGAAGTATTTTTCTGCCCTTTCTGAAAAAGCATCTGCATATTAAAGCCAGTATTTATTTTGTTTTGAACGTGAAACCTTGTATCAAGCCTAGTAGTGTTTTATTGAAGTTTTAACCTATTATGGAAAGAACTTTATGCTTTATGTATCAAATAATTAGATTTATACTAATTATCTGTGTACCAGAAAGAGTTGCTGAACCTAAGGACCTGGCTGAAGCTGATGAGATTCTTCCTCAAGTGATAAAGTCTGGTGTAGTGACTGAGGACACTGCCCTGATGCTAAAGGATGCCCTCTCCCAGGTAAATGTCTTATTTATGGAGTAGTGAGTGTTTCTAGGAGTGATTTGTCCCCTTAATATTCTGCTGTATAAGAAGTGACCTGTGAGAATCATTTAAGCGTGTGACACCAGCCACCTTATTTCTGCATCTTCAGGGATATCCATAAAGCTTTTCTGGAGCTATTCCCCTGCAGAATTTGAGGATGATGCTAAAGGGGTGAAAAGGAAGGAGAGACGCTGAAATGAAATTTTAGAACAATGTCCAATGCTTAAGTGAGTCTCTGGTAAACTGGCTCCTTTTTTTCTCTGGCACCTTTGGAATTCTAGGTGTTTCCACCAGCTCTCTCCCATGGCCAGCAGCAGATTGAGGAAACTTCCCTTCATTCAGAGAGTGAAAACACAGATTCTGAAGAAACAAATTTACCTGAGTCTGACCTTGCAGAAAAGAAAGAACAGCCTGTGGAAAACTCCAAAACTCCAAAGAGGACTGAAAGTACCCAAAAAAGGGCAGGTGAGTGCTCTGCCTCTGCAGCTCTGGAGGGATTGGATCTCATGGAAGTACAAAGAGCTTTAACATCCCTCCTCTGACAGGGGCTGCTGCCAGTCCATTTCCCAGGAATATTTATTTGTTTGCATTGTTTTAACTGCCAAAAGAATGAATCTGGTTTGTCCTCAGGCAGGCAGAGCAGGTGGTTGGTTATCTGTCCTCAGGTAGCCAAGGAGAGGGAAAGCAAAAGCCATTCCGGTGGTTCCACGTTACCAGTGCTGTGGGAACGGGACAGCTCATTTGATGTGCACATTCCTCCAATAGGAGATGCTGAACTGCAGATGCCAGCTGTAAATCTGGAGGGAGAAGTGCCTGTCCTTGCCTCAGATCCATCAGTGGTTCAGTCTCTGGAAAGCTGTGCAATGACCTGGCAGAAATTGATATCCACAGTCCTGAGGGAGCAACTGAAAAAGGTGCCCCGGGTAAGGTCTCCTGTCACACCAAGATGCTTTCACTGCTGGAGGCTTTGCTTCCTTTCCCCATGAGAATCTCTTTGAATGGTTTGTGTTCATTTTTAATTCCTCTTCACGTTTGCTTGTTGGAAAACCATTTACTAATTGATGAAAAGTAGAAAAAAAAAAGTAGTGAGGAACTGTGTGGCTCTGGGAAGTAGAATAAAAATAGAATATAAAGTAACTCAGTGCAGATCCTGCCCACACAGGATAACCAAGGGACTTTTTGGTATCTGCTCTTCCAAAGAGCCATGAAATACTAAAAGCTGCAGTGATTTTTTTTTTTAAATAGACAACTATATTTTTGATTGAAAAAAGTAATCTCAAACAAAAAATAAAATTCCAATTTTAAGATTCTGATTCAGCGAACACTTACACCTATGACTAATACAATTAAACATACTGTGGGGTTTCATGCCTGTAAAGTTACCCGTGCATAAACCTTTGGACTCTCCAGCTCAGGGATATATTCCCCAGGAACACATTTCAAGGATCTCC